CTGGTTTGTATAGTTTGTGGTGTGAAACTTGCTCCTTTTAACTTTTGATCCTCTTTATGTAATATTTTGACACCTTCTTGCCACCTTTATCTTTGGTTTTTATAAGTTTGATTTTTAATGTGTCTAGTGGATGTTTCTTGATAAAACAGGATAAACAGGTATTTGTTCTGTTTTGAGAATCTGTAGTTTGATATATTTTATTAGTTTGGGGAGGTTTTCAGCCAGTCTGTCTTCAAATATTTCTTCATCTCTGTTATTCTCTTTTCTTTCTCAGATTTCAGTTACAAGTATATTAGACTATTTGATATTGTCCAAGAGCTTATATTTTTTATTGACTTATTTTTTGTTATAGGTGAACACAATATCTTTATTTTATTTTTATGTGGTGCAGAGGATTGAACCCAGGGCCTCACACATGCTAGGCGAGCAAGCTACCACTGAGCCCCAGCCCTGTCCAAGAGCTTTTGGATGTTCTTTTGTTTCTGTTTAGTTCTGTTTAGTTCATTTTTATTGACTGTCTTTAAGTTTGCTGATTCTTTCCTTAGCTGTGTATAGTCTACTGATGAGATCATTGGAGGAATTCTTCATTTCTCATATTTATTTCTATATTTCCATTTGATTATTTGCTTCTAATTTTTATATTTGCTAATCTGTTCATATGTTTCTCACCTTTTCCATTAGATTCTTTAACATATTAATCACTGTCTAAAGTCTAATAGTTGCAATACCTATATCATCTTTGAGACTGATGTATCTCATGTAGGATTTCTGTTTTCTTGCTTTTTTTTTTTTTTGTCCTGTAATATATAGTTGACTGCTAAACATCATGTGTAGAATAGTAGAGAATGAAATAGTATTTGAATCTGGAAAAGGGCAGATCTTTTCTGTTAGGGAATTGAGTCAATTAATTGAGCTGGGTTTGGGTCTCGTTGGAGCTGTCGTTGTCTTTATTGCACCATGCTTCAAGTTCCTCTTGTAGGCTGCTATCACCTGGTATTTAGAGTTGAGGCTGGGGTTCTAGAGGGTTTTTCTCTGTTCCTGAACCTACCCCTCCCTAAGCTTTCAGCTGCATTGCCTGTACCACAGACAAATTATCTCTCCACATTCTCGTCCCCTGCCACTGGTAGAATGTTCTTGGTTTTGATTTTGGCTAGATTCATGGTAGAGGTAGATATTGTCTTGCCTAGCTTTAGTTTAAGGTGGAGTCTGTGTCTCTGTTTCTTAGTTCTTCTGCCCTTTCTCCTTACTGTAGCTAAACTGTCACATCCTTGTATGTATGGTTCTCTTGGAAAAAAGTTGCTACTTCCTCCCCGGCTATAATTGACCTCCTCTTATCAGTATGGGAACCAGGACCTAATAATGGTTTCTTGTCTCTCCTTAGAAGTACAGAATATTTTGTATTATTTAGTCTTTCTTGTGAGCATAGGAGAAGCCCATGGAAAAGACTTGCATAAAAGTGGGATGTATCCTTGTGCCTATGGTGGAAGTGCTCTTCTTTCAGCTTTCTAAATCTCAAACAGAAGCAGAAGCAGACTGAGAGTGGCTTAATGTCCTCATCTATCAGCCCTTTTTTTTTTTTTTTTTTTTGGTCAGGGTTGGTTCTGAGGACTGAACTCAAGGCCTCATAAACGCCCTACCACAGAGTTACATCTCCAATCCTATTAACTTTTTTGTTTCTCTCATTTCTGAGTCTGTTTCTACTCTTTTTCCTGGTTACAGGTCAAATTTTCTTGCTTCTTTACTGGTAATTTTTGTTTGCTATCATACATTGGCCCTAGATTTTTTATATTCCTTTGAAGAGAGTTTGATTTTTTTTTTTTTTCTTTTCCTGGCATGCAGTAAGTTACTTACAGATTACTCTGGTCCTTTCAGTGTTCGTTTTTAAGCTTTTAGGATAGTTTAGAGTAGTTTTTCTCTAGAATTAATTTAGCTAGCCCCTAAACCATGGCCTATTTGAGTTCCCCTTATGAATTCCATGTAGACTTAGGGAGGTGTTTTTATTCTGGTTGGAGGAAAGTTGAATGGTTCCATAATCCTGTTGGAACTCTGAGAGTTGTTCATTTACAGTCCCTTACCCCATAATAGTTCTTTCCTTAGGTTGTTAATTCAGTCAGAATTCAAGGTGACCCAATGAGGATTTTTTTGAGTTCTTCCTCTCTTTAGCTCTTTCTTGTATGTTCAGTCTTGGTAATTCTAGCTACTTTGGCCTCCTTGAACTCCAGTCTGTCTATTAAACCTAGTGAAGTTGCCAAACTCAGTTTGGGTGATCCTCCCTGAGATACGCTTTAGAAGTTACTTCTAACCAGAAAGCTAAGATTATATCTAGTAGGCCTCTGCTTGTTTCCATTTTCTCAGGGACCATAGTTCTTAGATGCCTGTTGCCAGTGTCTGAAAAATAGTTATTTCCTGTTTTGCGTCTAGTTTTCTATTTGTTTATGGTGAGAGGTTAGTTATAGACCACCTGGAAGTTTCCAGATTTGGATTTTCTTGTAAAAACAGAATATTCTAAATTAGGGATAATTCAATTCGAAATTGATTTTTTAGGGCTGGGGTTGTGGCTCAGTGGTAGAGCGCTTGCCTGGCACGTGTGAGGCACTGGGTTTGATCCTCAGCACCACATAAAAATAAATAAAATAAAGGTATTGTGTCTGTCTACAACTAAAAAATATTTTTTTAAAAGAAATTGATTTTTAAATATTCTTGACTTTAAAAGAAATAATGAAACACTACTTTATATTTTATAGGAAAATTAATTCCAAATGGATTAAGGACTTAAATGACAAAATAAAAAATTTAAAGCTCTTAGTAGAAAATATTGGTGAGTGGCTTTTAGATCTTGGTGATAGAAAAAATTTTTTTAAGATACAACAGTTATTTATGAAAAAAGATTGATAAATTTAAACTATTTATTAAAGTAAGAGATCTTTAAAATTCAAAATTTCTTTTAAATAAATTGAAAGTGCTGGTGACAAATTGGAGACAATATTCACAATACACATAACTGAAAAAGATTATGTCAAGAACATATAGAGTTGGACATAGTGATGTATGCCTAGTCCCCGATAGATGGAGGCTGAAGCAGAAGGATTGCTTGAGCCCAGGAGTTTGGGAGCAGCCAGGGCAACATAGCAAGACTCTGTGTCAAAAACAAAATGAAAAAACAAACAAACAGAAAAACTACAAATACATGGAAAAGCACAAATATCCAGTATGTAGCAGGTAAAACACATGAATTGGTATTTTACAAAAAATAAACTCATGTGGCCAATAAATGTAGGAAGACATGTTTGGCATCTTTAATAACTAAGGAAATGTAAGTTAGGACCACAAAGATAACTTTTCACACCCCTTCATTAGCAAAAATTGAAAGGATCTTTTTATACACTACTGAAAGAGGAATAAATTGGTGCAACCACTCTAGCTTACAGTTTGACATTAATATCCTGAAGTAGCATATGCATATATATTTTAACCCTGCTGTTGCACTTTCAGGTGGTGTACTTAGGAATATCTCCTCTGTATGTACAGCAGGAAGCATGTATACAAATGCATATGGCAGCATTATTCACAATGAATAGCAGAGAGTCAGAAACAACCCAACTCTCATCATTCAGAGAACCGATTAAAAAAAAAGAAATATGATGTATGCATACAACAAAATGCCATGGAAGATAGAAGAAATGACAAAGATATTAACACTGTGGATGTAGACTAATGTAAAGTGCTAAGAGTAAATCCCTAGACGTCTCGTTCATTGTGGTACTCTGGGTTGTAAGGACGATCTGGCTGTCTCATTGGTTGCCAGGATTGATTTGACTGAGCCTGCTGACAGCTGTCCCCTTGTCCCCTTACCACTCCATGTGTGTCCCTCTTGAAGCTACTTTATTATCTTCAATTAGTTGAAGAGGATGACCTTCCCTGAGAGAGAAGGGATGTTCTTTGGTTAAGACTGCATCGGTTGGTGAAATGAGTTGGACATCATTACCCTGGGTACATGTATGATTGCACAAATGGTGAACTCTACATCATATACAACCAGAGAACTGAAAAGCTGTGCTTCATTTGTGTATGATAAATCAAAATGCCTTATGCTGTCTTGTATAACTAATTAGAACAAAGAAAAAAAAAAGACAGCATCAGTAACTGTGCTCCCCTGCTAGAATCTCCAAACTCTCAACATGATACTCTGTTTTTATAGAATTAAAATACCTGTAAAAGCTAAAATAAAAGATAAAAATTTAAGAATTATATATAAATGCAAAAACAAAGCAACAACCATAAGAAGAAAAGCAGTCAGGCACAGTGGCATATGCCTGTGGTTCCAGTTATTCAGGTGGCTGAAGCAGGAAGATCACCTGAGCCCAGAGCCTGGGAATATAGTGAGATCCTGTCTCAAAGAAAAAATAAATAGAAAGGGGGCAGAATAAGAGGGAGGGAAAGAAAAAAGGAAGGGATTGATGAACATGGTTGATATGATAGCTTGGAGTTAGGGAAGCAGGAAGATAGGATTGAGGGGGCAGACACTGTATGGCTTTGAAAAACTTCTAACTTTCTTAAAATACTATCCATGCTTAAAAATTGATAATTGCCTTTGAAAATGTTTAAGATTATAATGGAGGTAATTTTATCTTCAAAAATAAGATCATATCCTCCTTGAAGATAGTAGCTCTCTTTTGTACATACAGCTTTTGGCATGTTTATTAAAAATAAGTCTTGTTTTAATTGGCTGGGATTGTGGCTCAGCGGTAGAGCAGTTGCCTAGCAAGTATGAGGTACTGGGTTCAATCCTTAGTACCACGTAAAATAAAAGGTTATTGTGTCCACCTACGCTAAAAAACAAATATTAAAAAAAAAAGTCTTGTTTTAAAATGGTCTCTAACATAGTCTCTATTAAGTGCATAGAAATACCACCTAAACAATATCCATCGAGCCTGATGTTAGATGATTCTGTGATTTAATTTATAGTAAGTAGGCTTTTCTTTGTTCTTCTCCCTCACCAGGTGTACAATGTTTACATGGCAGGGAGGCAGCTGTGTTCTAAGCGGTACCGGGAGTTTGCCATCCTACACCAGAACCTGAAGAGAGAGTTTGCCAACTTTACATTCCCTCGACTTCCAGGAAAGTGGCCATTCTCATTATCAGAACAGCAGTTAGATGCTCGACGTCGGGGATTGGAAGAATATCTAGAAAAAGGTAAGCTAGCCTATTAAACTCTACCATCCTGAATAGACATAAGTTCTAGTATAGATAGTGCAACTCCAGTACTGCATGGCTGTTTCTTGAAGCTCAGTAGTCAAAGTGAGTCAAGTTTCTGACTATGAGAGTTGAATGATCTGAGCTTTGAAAACTGAAATGTCCAGCACAGTGATTAGTAGCTTGTTTTAATGGCTCATTGAGCCCTTAACAACAGAAAAACAAATAATTTGTTTTTGAAGCATTGATGGTCCTTAATGGACCTTATTTATAGGATCATACTATTTGCCAGCAAACACGTAGAAATGGATGTATCAATATACTAAATTAATTTGGGAACTAAGTGAGCAGTATTAAGATGTTTTCATTCAAATGAGTCTTGTTTCACTAGCATATCCTACATGAAAATGCCTTATTCCTTTTACAAGTATTCATGGGTAGATTTGCTGAAGTAATCCAAAAGTCCCCTTCTAAGCAAGCAGAATTAGTGCAAGTTTTTAATCTCAGAACTTCCAAGTGATACATTGGGAGTCTATGGATATGAATGTAAAAATATTTGTTTCTCTAGAAAGGCAAAGAAATGACACAGGTCTCCTCAATGAGGTAGTTCACCTTGTGGCTCCAAAACAGAAGAGGCCTTGCCTTGCTACATTATAGAGTTACCTTACTTTCTAGCTGTGCAGTAGGTCTTGCTTTAAAATATTAGTTGAACAGAATAATGGCCATATGTGATGTTTAGTAATTCTGTGTCCTAATGTCCTTGTGTAAGAACTAATTGACCTACTTGAATTTTTTTAAAACTTTGGTAGGGATCCTTATCCCTGAAGAAAAATCATTTCCCCCACAGAAGGTAATGGAACTCCTCATCTGTTTTTAGCTTTTCCTAACATGAACTGGCCTCTCCAACATAGCCCTAGGGAAATGAGAAAGGGTGCATTTTTTTTTTTTAATCAAATGAAGTAAAATCATCAGTGTAATTTACCATCCTCTTGAGAGTGTCAGGAAATTAACTTTCTTAGATTTAGACGATTAGCTATCTATATGCCTGCTTTCTCTCCTCCTTTCCTCCCTTGCTCTCCCACCCTTTTTTCTTCCCTCCCTCCCTTGCTCTTCCTCCCTTTTTTTTTAAATTATTGTTTTGAAGCTAACGTCAGTGAGGTGAAATGATGTGCTCAGCTTAATACTCAATTAAAAGTTTATTGTTCTCTGACCTGTTCCTAGGCCAAATAGATATTTTTTTCTCTAGTGTTTCAGTTTTTTATTTGGTTTATTCTTAATTGACCCTTCTCTTCCACTGCCTCTTTTCCCTCATGTTCTGTTGTTTTGGATATTATTAGGTCATACAAGACTGCTCAGTAGATTTACTGTACTTTAATTTTTTCTTTTTTGATATGTTTAATATTTTTAGCAAAACTTTGTATTTTCTATTATTCTTCTGTTCTAGATCATAATTAGATGAATATATGTTATGCCTTAAAAATCTCATACATCAGGGGGCTGGGGTTGTGGCTCAGTGGCAGAGCACTTGCCTCGCACATGTGAAATACTGGGTTCGATCCTCAGCACCACATAAAAATGAATAAACAAAATAAAGATATTGCATCCATCTGTAACTAAAAAAAATATTTTTTAAAAAATCTCATACACCAGGGTACATGCTGCCTTCTCATTGCTTGTCACTAATGATTTGAATTTAAATCTTGCTATGTTCTTGATCTTATGTTATTGATTTGGGGGCCTTTTGCTAGATTCTGTCTTTGTTTTCTCCAGTGTGTTCAATACGAGTCATTGGTGAGAGTGACATCATGCAGGAGTTCCTGTCAGAGTCAGATGAGGTAGGTGAATACCCCCTTTAATAATTGTTCTCCTCTTAGCTCCTTAGGGGGGAAAATAAGTCAAAGATATCAATTATGGGTTGGATTTCAATAAACTCTCCAAATGACTATTTCTTTTACCTCTTTTCCATACATATCCTGCTTATCTATCCTTTAAGACCTGGTGTCAGGTCTACCTTCTCGTTGAAGCCTTCTGTAATGACTCAGGTCATCAATTTTTCATTTCATGAAGAATTTCTGCAGTCAGTACCACTCAGTTATTACCTTCTTGCTATCTCATTCTCTAATTTTTATACATATAATCAGTTTGTCGCTTTATATTTTTAGCTTACAAGAGTGTGAGCTACCTGTAGGTAAGAGCTAAATCTTGATCATCTTTATATTACAGTGCCTTACCACAGCCTCAAGCATGTTGTAGGTGCCTAATAAATATTGAGTAGAAGAATGAATATGTAATACTAATATATCATTCACTAGTTATTTCATATGTATATGCCTTGTTTTTTTCCCAATTAGATCTTGAGTTTCTTCTAGATAAGGGCTTATAATTAAGTACAATGGTCCCCCTTATCCATGGTTTTGCTTTCTACAGTTTCAGTTACATGTGGTCACCCATGTTCTGAAAAGATTAAATATAAAATTCCAGAAACAAACATTTCAAATGTTTTAAATTGTGTGCTATTCCCAGTAGCATGATGAAGCCTGTGCCACTGGGATCTGAATCATCTTTGTCTAGCATATGCACTCTGTATATGGCACCCGCCTATGAGCCACTTAGGAGCTGGGTAAATTATCAGATTGAGTGCCCGGATATCACAGTGCTTATATGCAAGTAATCCTTATTTTATAGGAGTGGTGATGCTAGCAATTCAGATATATCTAAAAGGAGTCATAGAGTGCTTTCTTTAAGTTTGAAAGGTAAAAGTTCTTCACAATAAGAAACATTTTTAAAAAATCATATCCTGAGGTTGCTAAGGTCTAGGGTAAGAATGAATCATCTATCAAAGATATCAATTATGAAGAAGGAAAAGGAAATTTATGCTAACCTGGGCATGGTGGTACATGCTTTTAATCCCAGCAACTTGGGAGGTGGAGGCAGGAGGATCACAAGTTTCAACCTAGCCTCAACAACTTAGGGAGACCCTGTATCAAAATTAAAAAATAAAAAGGGCTGGGGATGTGGCTCAGTGGTTATACACTCCTGGATTCAATCCCTGGTAGCAGAAAAAAAGGAAGAAGAAAGAAAATTCATGCTAGTTTTGAGGTGGCAATTCAAACTGCAAAAGGTATGACCACAGTGCATGATAAGTGAATAATGAAGAAGGAAAAGGCTTAGGATTTAGTATTATCCTTCTGTCATCCACTGGGAGTAACGGAGACTACTGTAATTCTTGGGATGTTTTAGGCAGTGAATAGTAATTTTTTAAAAAGTGGTGAATGAAGATGGACTGATTGCTAAATAGTTATTTCTCTCTAATAAAAATTACAAGGTCAAGGCTGGGATTGTGGCTCAGTGGTAGAGTGCTAGCATGCATGAGGCACTGGGTTTGATTCTCAGCACCAAATATAAATAAGTAAATACAATAAAGGTCCATCAAAATCTAATAAAAATATTTTTTAAAAAAATACAAGGTCAAACATTTGTTAAAAGAAATAGATTAGTCATCAAAATCATATGAGGTGATTTTGTTTTATTTTATTATTATTATTTTTTTAATTTTTGGTGCTGGGGATCAAACCCAAGGTTTCACACATATTAGGCAAGCACTCTGCCACTGAGCTACACCACCACCACCCCCCCGTAAGTATTTCTTTTGAATTAAAGAGAATAAGAATTGTTTACTCTTTGCTAGAAGAAAATTGGGCATTAAACTAGTTCAAAACCAAGTCCCATTTTTCCTTTTAAAAATGTCCGGATTACGGGCTGGTGTGTGGCTCAGCGGTAGAGCGTTCGCCTTGCACGTGAGAGGCCCTGGGTTTGATCCTCAGCACCACATAAACATAAATAACTAAAATAAAGATATTGAGTTCAACTACAACTAAAAATTTAAAAATGGGGCTGAAGCTGTAGCTCAGTGGTAAAGCGCTCACCTCACGTGTGAGGTACTGAGTTCGATCCTCAGCACCACATAAAAATAAATAAACTGTGTTCATCTACAATAAAAAAAAATACATAAAAATATTTTTTAAAAATTTTTAAAAATTGTCTTGATTATTTCAGAGTTCAGAAAGGAACTTAGGATAGATACCCTTTGAGCCAGACTATATTCTTAACCCTTAAGACCAGAGAATATTTGCTGGAATTACTGCTTTCAGTTGTTTTCTTTCTCATTTGTGAATTCTGAATGGGTGACAGAAGTGAACCAAAAATCTCATCTGTGTTTGACCTAGACTGCTTCACACGGTTGTCTGTTTTGAAATGTGAACACATTGGCTTCAATATGCTTCTTTTTTCCCTTTTCATCTTAAAGGTTAACTTCTGCTGCAGCCTGAAGTCAGTTTTATGACTTGTAAATATATTGACTTTTAAGATGTCATTTTCCCCTTTTATTGGAACTCACTTCCTCTCCATCACATGTCTATTGTTTAGCTAACATGTTACAGGGAGAGTGAGGATTTATACTGGGTCATAAATTCTTTCTCTGTGTCTTTTTCTCCAGAACTACAATGGTGTGTCTGATGTAGAGCTGAGAGTAGCATTACCAGATGGAACAACAGTTACCGTCAGAGTTAAAAAGAACAGTACTACAGACCAAGTATATCAGGTAAGTCAGACTTGAACACATTGATCTGACATTGGATAGTGTGAAACTAAGAAACATAAATTAAATGAATTAATACATATGAAGTGAATAGAGTGTCAGGCACATAATCAGTTGATTAAATTATTGTTATTAATGTAAAAGAATTTTGCCCTCCTTGAAAGAATAGTACGTAAATATCCCAAGGTATAGGAGCTAATGTCCCTCCCTTTTTTTTGATTTTACTACTCTTTTTACTTATATTAAAATAGAATTGTAAAAATTCTCCATATACTATATTATTTATTTGTTTATTTGCTGGGGATTGGATCTGTGAGTGCTTTACCACTGAGTTACATCCCTATCTTTTTAGGGTTTTTTTTTTTTTGTTTTTTTTTTTTTAATTTGGAGACAAGGTCTTGCTAAGTTATTGAGGCTGACCTTGAACTTGTGATCTTCCTACCTCAGCTTCCCCTGTCTGTGGTATTATAGGCATGTGCCACTGGACTTGGCATCCATATACTCTTTTTAAAAATCCTCCTTCCTTCCTTTTTTTGCAGTCCTATGGTTTGACCCCAAGGCTTGTATATACTAGGCAAGTGCTCTACATTCCCAGTCCTCATGACTTATGTTGAATAATTATCAAGATTTTGCCACATTTTTACCATATATCTTTTTTCCTTTACATTTAAGGGTTCCTAGCAAAATCCATATTATTAGACCTATGTGTACTTCAGTATACATCTAAAAAATATGAACATTCTTCACAACATTATCAGACCTAAAAATTAGCACCATTTTCTTTCCAAAGTCAGATTTTTCCATTTATCTGAAGTGAATATTTACAGTTCATTTGTTAAAAATCTGGATCTAAACAAGGTTCTTACATCACATTTGACATACATGTTTGTTTGGTTTTCTTTTTTTGTTGTTTTTTGGTTTTCTAATATAGAGCAGTCCCCTTGGCCTCCCCAACCTTTTTCACACCATTATTTTATTGCAGAAATTGGGTCAGTGTACTGTGGAATGTCCCACATTCTGAATTTATCTGTTTGTTTTCTAGTAGTGTCATTTAATATGTCCTTCTTTCTTCCTATATTTTCTATAAATGAGTTTTGTTCTAGTGGCTTGATTAGTTTCAGGTTCTGTATTTTTGGTACAAATACCATAATTAGTGTAATATATTATCATTACTTCACAACAGACAGTACACAATATGTGGTTATCCCACTTTTAGTAGTAACAAGAATAATTAGTAGGTTTAGTGGTAATCTGATTTTTCCATTGTAAAATTGCCCATTGTTCTTTTATCAAATGAGTGAGTCCAGAATTATTGCCTTAACCAATGATTTCATAAAGGTTGGGTAGTTCTGGTTTTCTAATTATCTCATTTCTTTATATAGCTAAAGTTCTTTTTTTGTTTGTTTGGTTTTTGGCTTTTGGTACCAGGGATTGAACTCAGGGGCATTCCTCTACTGAGCCATATTCCTAGCCCTATTTTATATTTTATTTAGAGGCAGTTCTCACTGAGTTGCTTAGTATCCTTGATTTTGCTAAGGCTGGCTTTGAACTCACGATCCTCCTGTCTCAGCTTCTGGAGCCCCTGGGATTGCAGGTGTGCACCACTGCTCTAGGTCACTAAAGTTCTTTTGTACATATCTTTTTATTAGCAACTAAGATTGTTTAGTTATCTTAAATGCAGTTTGTGGGAAAGGATAAATATTTAATTCTTTTCTTTTATTGACAATTTTCAGTGTAAAGAATTGGGACCCTACTTGATTCCAATGATGTCCAATGAGATGATTGTTACATTTTATTTAATTATTTTATTATTATGATTATTTTATTTGTTCTAATTAGTTATACATGACAGTAGAATGCACTTTGATGGATATATCAATGTACATAGGGTAGTAATGTCTCGTTCTTTCTACTATGCTTCCTACTCCTATACCCCCTCCCCTCTCTTTATTCCCCTCTACTTAATCTAAAGTAACTGTATTCTTCCCTAGCTTCCTCTTTATTGTGAATTAGCATCCGCATAGCATTTAATTTTTGAAAAATATTTTTAGTTGTAGATAGACACAACACAATACCTTTATGTTATTTTTATGTGGTGCTGAGTATCAAACCCAGTGCCTCATGTGTGCCAGCCAGCACTCTATCACTGAGCCACAGCCTAGCCCCACATTTTATTTTTTAATGTCACGTAGGTTTTTAAATTAGCCTGATTTAATCATGTATTATTTCTTTGATGCTCCTCTGGGTTGTTGTTTTTTTTTTGTTGTTGTTGTTGTTGTTTGTTTGTTTTGGTACCAGGGATTGAATTCAGGGGTGCTTAACCACTGAGTCACATCCCCAGTCCTTTTTTGTATTTTATTTAGAGACAGGGTCTCACTAAATTGCTGAGATCCTTGCTAGTGAATATAGCTTTGAACTTTGGATACTCCTGCCTCAGTCTCCCAAGCTGCTGGGATTACAGGCTCAGGCACCATGCCTGGCAAACGAGTCCATTTTTGGCCAGTGGATGTTCCTTCATACCTGCAACTGTTTATTCTTGATGCAATCCATTAATTTATGCTGTCATTCTTTCTTTTTTGGTATAACAAGATATTCTGTGCTCATCTTCGTACATTTCTTACCCTAGATCATTTAATTCATTTCTCTAAGGAATCTTGGCTCTTTTTAGTGAGAAATGGTATTTAAAGATCACGTGCTGGGTATAATCCTTGCTTGTAGGCCTTTTTTATGCCTTTAGACCTAACAGGATTTTCAGTGAGACAAGTAGGCTTCTGGGTATCTGTGCTTATTTCTCCTTTATAGCAAACAAAAATATATTTTTCTCATACATTTATTCATCTATTGTATATCATGACAAAGGACAAATGTAGAATATATAAAAATAAAAATAAGCAATTTTGAAAATTATACAATGATGAAGTAATTGCCAAGAAAATGCGTCTTTGTTTTGTTTCTTTGCTTTTCTCAATTTTTTAAGCCTAGGTTTTTTATATATATATATATTTTTCTTAATTTGATATATTAGTTATGCATGACAGTAGAATGCATTATGATACATCATACATAAATGGAGTATAACTACTCATTTGTCTGGTTGTACATGATGTAGAGTTACACAGGTCATGTAATCATGTATGCACATAGGCTAATAATGTCTGATTCATTTTATTATCATTTCTACCCCCATGCCCCCTCCTCTCCCTTCACTCCCCTCTGTTTAGCCCAAATTACCTCTGTCCCACCCCCCGCAACCCCCATTGTGGATTAGTGTCCACATATCACAAAATATTTAGGCCTAGGGTTTTTTTAAAAAAAAATACTTTTTCTCCTGTGCTAGTACTAGAAGATATTTTCTAAACCTTGAGTGCATTTCGGTTTCTATTCAGTTCAGTACAAAATGATATTTTAATTCCCAGTTCCCATAACACATAAGTGATGAACTTAGGCTTGATATTCGAACAGATAGGAGAAGAAGGGATATAATTATGTTTGCTTTACTGGGTACTAATAGTCAGCAGTTTTATCTTGTTAAGTTAATACCTTATTTATATCAGGATTGATCTTAAAAAGGGATTTTGTTACTATTTAATTTTTGCTTTGTTGTTTGTATGTAATTTCAATTTTCACTTATTGCACATGGAATCTTTCGATTTATTTTTTGTCATGTTAAGACCTTAGCAGTTCCTGGAGAGAAGGACTGATCCTTGTTTAATATGCCTCTTGTCACAACATTTTTTATTTTTATGTACTTACCAAGTACATTTCTTATAAGATATTTAAGAAGATCTTTGTGTAATATTTCATAGGAAAACTGATATTTAAAAAACCTGTTACTAGCTTGTATTGGAAAGGAGAAACTCAGATCACAACTGGGTTAAATAAAGGAATTTTTTTTCCTTGTTATATCTGTATACATGTGTGCCTGTACACTTACAGAGGATAGCTCTGCCTGGGCATGGTGGTACAGGCATACACTATACTCCCAGCAATTCAGGAGGCTGAGGCAGGAAGATCACAAGTTCAAGACCAGCCTCAGCAACTTAGTGAGATTCTCAGCAACTTAATGGGATGCTATTTCTAAATAAATAAATGAATAAATAAATAATTTGGGGGGGAGGCTAGGGATATAGCTTAGTGTAAAATAAGTACAAAATAAAAAGATAGTACAAAATAAAAAGATAACTCTGAACCAGATAGTTTTTATGAAACCAAAATGGGCTGCCCTCTCCCCACTCCCATACTTGCATTGTCTGATTTAGTTTTCCTGAAACCATTCTCTCCTGCTTAAACTTCAGGCTATTGCAGCAAAGGTTGGCATGGACAGTACGACAGTGAATTACTTTGCCTTATTTGAAGTGATCAATCATTCCTTTGGTAAGTGCTAGTGGCTAATATTGTTTTATTTGGGTATTTTAGTCTAATACCATTGGATAGAAAATAGCTTGAAGACGAGCGAGATCCCACTCATCAGAACTATCTACAATAACCAGACCAGGCCAATCTTGTTAGTTCTGGTCATAAAGATGCATGATTGCTGTTGATTCTTCTGCCTCTGTTGTCAGTACAAAAAGGTTTTTACACTTTCATGAGGTTCTTCTAAATCAGAGGTTCAAAATTAAAGTATTCTAATGAAATAGCTTTAAAAAGGGGAAGTTCTCTTTAACCACATGTGGTTTCAATATACTTTATGCTTTTTGTAAAGATTTTTAAGAATAGTTTTTTGTTTTTAGAAGTTAGAGATTCATTGATTAAAAGCCTTTGTTTTAATGCTTATGTTTAAGTTTCTGTGTGAATAAATTTCCTCTTACTAGAAAGTTATATTGCATAATGGCAGGAATTTTTTATTTTATAAAAGTTGGGGTGGTGGTCACATGGATTGCATCGAGACTACACAGAAGAGGATGTCTGAGGACTTGCTCTGAAAGACATGGATTTTTTACACTTCATGGATCTTTTCCACATCCTACACAGGGTTAAGACTAGAAATATCAGGCCTTCCTCATCCCAGGAGAAGGGGTGGTAAATTTGGGGAGCCTTGCCATCCCTGGTCAAGGTAGAGCAACTTTGGTTCCTCCAAAGCAGTCGTGTCCCTATTATTACTTGTCTTCCCAACTCTCAACAGCCTAACTAGGAAGTTGTAAATTATGTTACAAAAGAATACTAGGATATCTAGGATGCTAGAGTACCAAAATACTTGGATTCTAATCTTATCCCTTTGTTAGCTTGAGGTTTCACTTTGTATAAAATGAGAAATATTAAATCTGTCTTTCACAATGTTTTAAAGCCAAATAGACATCAAGAATATGTCTATTTGGCTTTAAAACATCTATTTATTTATTTGTTTATTTATATGTGGTACTGAAGATTGAACCCAGGGCCTCACGCATGCCAGGCAACTGCTCTACCACTGAGCAACAACCCCAGGTGGTGTTTTATCCTGCTGTGCACTGTTAGGGAGAAGAAATATTATTCAGAACACACTTTTTTCTGTGATGGAAGCCTTAGGGTTTCGGGGATGGGGTGGGATGGGAAGAGCTTTTCAGGTCTTAATAAAAAGTTCATTGAGAATGGCCACAGGAGAGTTTGTGAGTGCCCATAGTTGGGTAAGAGGAGAGGCTTGCTCTGAAGATGTTCAGATAATGGATCAGGTATTTTAACTCAATTTGGAGTTCATGCTGTCCACAGGGTCATCATGTTAACTGAAGGAGCCTCCATTCAAGTGATAAATTTCAGTCAGTTTGAGGCTTGATTGGTCATAGTTACAGTTAGCAGGGATATGTTTAGCTAAATACATGGTTATTTTGTGTTCCCATGGCAGAGCTCCTTGGTGAAATTGAGCTGATGCTTTGGACAATGATAACATACCATTCTTGATCTGCCTGACATAGTTCATACTAGGAAAATTCCTTATATCAGCTTTCTTTGTTTTGTCTTTTCTTCAGTACGTAAGCTGGCTCCTAATGAGTTTCCTCATAAACTCTACGTCCAAAATTATACATCCGCTGTGCCAGGCACCTGCCTGACTATTCGAAAGTGGCTTTTTACAACAGAAGAAGAAATCCTCTTAAATGACAATGACCTTGCTGTTACCTATTTCTTTCATCAGGTGGGTGAATTGATCTTCCTGAAAATCCTGGTTTCTTTTTCTGTTTGTTATAGTTGGTAATGTGCCAATTCATTGTGAATCCTTGGGTAAGCCACTTTGTTCCTGGGTCTGAGTTATATTTATAAAATTTCTATCCTATTTTACAAAAGATGTCATAAATTTTAGAGGTAAAATAATTTTTAAACAACAGAAAATGAGCATTATGGCTAGGTGTTCAGAATTCTTTTTTTTTTTTTTAAGATAGGAGAGAGAATTTTTTAATATTTATTTTTTAGTTTTCAATGGACACAACATCTTTATTTTATTTTTATGTGGTGCTGAGGATCGAACCCAGTGCCCTGCACATGCTAGGCGAGCGTGTTACCGCTTGAGCCACATCCCCAGCTCTGTTCAGAATTTTTTTCATCAATATTATATATACTATGTGGGAAAAATAAACTACCTGTTTTCCCTCTTCTCTCATCTCATAGTCAGTATAGGAATAGGGATTGCTTCCCTCTAGCAAGCAAGCAATTCTACAGTGGATAACAGCTGGGCATTGTTAAATTTAACTCAGTTCTAAGGCTATCTACCTGGAGATAATATCAGGATCCCAAAGGTCGTGGCCTCAGTCCCAGGTCTGCCCTCACTTTTGACCCAGTTACAAATCTTGGCCTCTGAACCAACTACAAGTAGGTGGTCATCCACCTTCTCAGGTTTGATTAATTTGCTAGAACAGCTCACAGAACTCAGGGAAACACTTTACTTAACATTTACTGGCTTATTATAAAGAAATTTTAAAGGCTACAAGTAAGCATGAAATGAGAGACATATAGAGACATACAGGACAAGGTCTGGAAAGGTGTGGAGTGCAGAAGCTTCCATCTTCCTGAGTTGGAGTGTACTCCCTCCTGGCACACGGATATGTTCTGTTTACCTCCCTATGAATCTCCATGTATTCCGTAGTCCAGAAGCTCCCAGAACCCTCTCCTTTGGGCTTTTGTGGTGACTTTTATTGCATGGGCATGATTGAAGTATAGACAACCATGTCAAAATGGAATTGGACAAAAATACTATAATCTAATGCTAATAGACCGAGAGTGAATACCCGGCAAGGCTTGTTTGTTCAGATTCTTCTTGGCCTCTCTGTGCAGCATTCCTTCCTGATGGACTCCATCTGAAATTATTATCAGAGAATTTTTTTTTTTTTAATTTTTAAATTTTGGGATAGGGTCTCACTAAGTCGCTGAGGCTGGCCTTGAACTTGGAATCCTCTTTCTTCACCCTCCTAAGCTGGTGGGATGATAGGATTGTAGGTATGTATCACTGCTCCTGGCTTGAGAATTTCCTTATGGCCAACTCTGACACAGAAAAACCAAGGAATTATATTACTTCTACTCAATTTTTCAGATCATGCAATATATCTTAATTTTCTACCATCAAAGATGAGACACTTGTTTTCTTCCTCCCCCATTTCCATTCTCATTACATACCCATATGACTAGAAGATAAATCTGAGAAAGTTCTGGAAAAAATAGAACAAGAAAACAAATTAAAAATATGAGAGATAAGATATTGAAACAATGGGTCAGAACAAGAAGTCCCTTATCAGAATATTAAGAGTTCCAAAAGGAGAGACAAAAAAATAAAAATTAGATATTATCAATATAACAATTCAAAAAACCAGATCAGAAAAGACACAAATTTCCCATACAGGACTCAACATAATAAATGAAAATAAATCCACAGCAAGCCTTGTTTTTGTGAAATTTAAGACTGATGGATTTTGGATTTTTTAAAATTAAATTTTATTTTTTTTTTTTGGTACCAGAGATTGAACCCAGGGGCACTCGGCCACTGAGCCACATCCCCAGCCCTATTTTTGTATTTAACTTAAGACAGGGTCTCACTGAGTTGCTTAGCACCTTGCCATTTGCTGAGGCTGGCTTTGAACTCGAGATCCTCCTGTCTCAGCCTCCTGAGCTGCTGGGATTACAGGCCTGTGCCACTGTGCCCAGCAAGACTGATGGAGACAAAAAAAAAAAAATTATATAGGCTTCTGAAAAGAAAAGAAAAAGTCACATAATGACCAGGGTACAGTAGTCAGTGGCAGAGTGCTTGTTTTATGCAAAACCCAAGATTCAGTCCCTAGGACTGAAAAGAAAAAAAAGCCACACAAAATGGTACAGTAATAAGAACATCCCCACCTCCAGCCCGCTGCCGGCTCTCAGTACTGGACTTCACACATGCTCTGCATGCACTCACTCTACCACCAATTAATTACAAGAACACAGAAAATTAAGCAAATGAAGAAGGAGGATAAAATTAGCTGAGGAAAAGCAAAATGTTATAAAAGATGAAAACTAAAAATAGTATCTATTATTAACTTTGCTATAAATTTCATAATTATTAGAGCAATAATCATATAAACACTGAATATTACCTAACAGATATTATAATTTGACTCTACTATGGGGATGAGAAAGATGAAAAGGATACAGGTATGTGGTGGGAATGAAAGAGGGAAAAAGCTAGTGTGAAAAATTAAGAGATGCTGCATACACAGATAGTCTATATTTTGGATTTTCTGTTGATTTCTGCTTTTATTTTTGACTCAACATCCCCTATTTTTTTTCCCAAGTGAACTGAACATAACCTCAAGATTATATTGTATCCCTAATAAAACAAAAGATGAAACTTAGAATCACTTAGCTCTTTCTCTTATCTCTTCTTCATGTAAAATATGTGTATCTCTTAAAAGTTAGAATTTTCTTAGGTCTGCACTTGGGTTCAATACACTGAAATCTCTGCATGATCTTCTTTGTAGTTGTAGTCTTTTTCTGGAAAATTGGCAGAGTGCACCCACCATAGCACCTCTATTTCCTGTCATAATGCCACTTTCCTTGGGCATAACAAAGAATCTGTGCTTTTTTTTTTTTTTTTTTTTTTTTTTAAGGTACTGGGAATTGAACCCAGGGACAATTTATTTTGAGATAGGGCCTTGCTAAGTTGCCCAAGCTGGACTCCAACTTTCAATCCTGCCTCAGCCTTTCAAGTCTCTGAGATTCGTGGCATGGGCTGTCACACCCAGATCTTTGCCCTTCTTATACTAGGTCAAAAAAAAAAATTTTTTTTTTTTTTTTGTACCAGGGATTGAACCCAGGGGCACTTAACCATTGAGCCACGTCCCTAGCCCTTTTTTAAAATAATTTTTAATTTTGGGTCAGGGTCTTGCTAAGTTGCTGAGTGCCTCATTAAATTGCTGAGGCTGGCCTTGAACTTTAAATCCTCCTGCCTCAGCATCCTGAGCCACTGGGATTACAGGCATGTGCCACTGCACCCATCCTAGGTCAGTTTTTGAGGTTGGTGCTTGACACACTTCTGAAAGGAAGTCTAGAGGGATTTTAGGAATGTCACCATGTTTGTAGGAGCACTCTTAGCACCAAAAGCTTCCCATTTTGGTTATTATTTATTTGTGTGATACTATGATACTATTGTGTGATAATATTTCATAAAGCTAAGCCTTCTGTATTAATCAGCTTCATGTTACTATAACAGAATACCTGAGGTGATTAATTTAAAGAGAAGAGATTAATTTTGGATTACAATTCTGGAGGTTTCAGTCCAAGATTGGATAGCCTCATTGCTTCTGGCAAGGGCAGCATCTCATAGCAGGAGTGCATGATGGAGCAAATTGCTTGTCATGAACCATGAAGCATTTAGAGAAAGGAAGGGACTGCGGTCCTAAAGTACCATTTGAGAGCAAGTCCTCAATGACCTGTGCCCCATCTCCCAAAGGTTCCTCCTTCTCCTAATAGTGCCACCCAGGGGACCAAGCCTTTAGCACAGGCCTTTGGGGAACATTCAACATCCATCTACATATAGCACCCTCCTCTTTTACAACACTCAGTAGTCTTGCCCATTTTACTTGTGATTTACCAAATGATTTTTATCCCATTTTGTAATGCCTTATAAGATACCCTGTAACGATTCCAGTTGGAATTTTGTTAAATTTATAGTTTCCCAAAATAATTACTGTTTTTATTAAATGCAATACTCCCAACTAAATACATAAGATTTCTATTTTATTCAACTCCTCTTTCCTCAAATAAAGTTCTATAGTTTTGTTTCACATGTGATTTAAACTAATTCTCCAACTTTTTACATTTTTTTTTTTTTTTTGCTATTATGAGTGGAATTTTTTTCATTGTTGGAGTGAAAAAGTCATTAGCTTGAAGTCAGAATATTTGTTTCAATGTAAGCTTTACATTGAGTAAATCCCTAGCAGAGCCTTGATGAAGTTTGTTTTCTGGTGTATTAGAGAGGAATAATAGTGTTTCACAGCTGTTTTTATTAAATGAGTATTAGAATTTAGATGAGGCCGAGCATATGAAATTGCTTTTTGAATTATAAACCTGTAAGACAAAAGTAATTTAGGGATATAAAAAAGCTATTGCTGTTGTAGCAATATCTCATACCAGCAGCTTTTTTGAACTCTTCTTATTGCCCCAAATTATTTCACAGCTTTATTGAAGTAATTGATATACAGTAGGCTATGCATATTTAAGATATACAGTTTGATTTTATTTAACTTTATTAAATATATATGTAAATATATGTAATTTATTTATTTATTTGCTTATGTCTGTGTGTGTGCTCATAGTGCTGGAGTTCACACCTGTGGCCTTGCACATGCTAGACAAGTATTCTACCACTGAGCCACATTCCAAGTTCCTCTTAACCATTTTTAAGCATGTAGTTCAGTGGTGTTAAGTATATTAATATCGTTGTACAATAGATCTCCAGAACCTTTTTGTCTTGCAAAAGTGACACTATCTGCCCATTAGATAACAATTTCTCATTTCCTTCTCTCTGCCACCCTTGATAACTACCTTTCTTCTATCTCAATGAATTAGACTACCTTAGATACCTCACTCATGTAAGTGGAATGAGAGTTTTTGTCTTTTTTGGGGACTGGGTTATTTCACTTAGCAAAATGTACTACTTAAGGTACATATATGACAGATTTTCTTTTCTTTTTAAGGCTCACTGATAATATATGGTATGTATACACTGCATTTTATTTTTTCATTCATTTGTAGATGGACATGCATTTTACTTCCACACCTCTTGGTAGGTGTGGATAATGCTGTTTGAACATGAGTTTCAGATATATCCCTTTGAGATACCTTTTTTTTAAAATACCTAGAAGTGGGGCTGGAGTTGTGGCTCAGTGGTAGAGTGCTCGCCTAGCACATGTGGGGCCCTGGGTTCAATCCTCAGCACCACGTAATAAATAAATAAAGAAATAAATTGAAGGTATTTTGTCCAACTACAACTAAAATAAAATAAAATACCTAGAAGTGGCTTTACTGAATTATGTAGTGATTCTATTTTTAATTTTTGAGGAATTACTATACTGTTTTCCATAGTGATTGCATTATTCCTGCTGACATTGTATAGGGCTCAAATGATATTTTGATTGTGTCTTTTAGAAAGTAATAATCATTTTCCCTTAATTAGTTTTAGTTATTTTTGTATTATATTTTGGGTGGGGGGTTACCAGCAATTGTACTCCGGGACACTCAACCACTGAGCCACATCCCCAGCCCTGCCTTATTTTTTTTTTTTTTTTACCGACAGGGTCTCACTGAGTTGCTTAGTGCCTCGCTTTTGCTGAGGCTGGCTTTGAACTCCACGTCTTCCTGCCTCAGCCTCCTGAGCTGCTGGTTACAGGCATGTACCACTGTGCCTGGCCTTTGTGTTATTATTTTGATGATAGGAATATCTAATGTGTTTCTAAAGTGTTATAGATTATAAGATACACCAATATTTTATGTATTGCTAAGAAAGAAAAAAGCTGCCAATTAAATCGATACATCATTGATTGTAAGATATGGCCCAATTTCAGATGTTAGAATGTGAAATAATGTGTACCTTAAAATTGATGAGACATTAGATATCGAATATCTAATGAGGATAATGAGCCTTCTTCTTTAAAAAGTTTAATAAGGAAGAAATTCTTGGGAGTTTATATTTAAATTCTAGATAAACCTGGTAGATCATACACACACTTAAGCTGTTCCTTCCTGAAATTTACTAAAAGAACAGTAATGGGATTGTCAAAGGTCATAAACCTGCAAGGACAAAGAGAACAGGAGAGGACACCATAGCAGATGATAACTGTCTACAATTTGTAGGAAATACTTGAATGACTCTAGAGAAATTTTGGTGTTTGGTGTTGGTTATAGGGATTTCAGAACTGGTTACTGTTTGTAAGTGGTTGACAAGAACTGGATATTGTTTGTAAATAGAAAGTTACGAACAAAAACATGAAGCAGTTTAATGTCAGAGAAAACAAAACAAATACACACACACAAGAAAGGAAGGCAGAGTACAGCAGTGCCTTAGTTTGAGTGCTGTTCACACGCTCACAGTAATGTAGAGAATTGATTAAATTTTTATTGAGAGGTTGAGGGAAGAGGAAGAGGGAGTATTTGGGTGTTATATGAGAGCTAGAGCTCAATGTGTATGACACAGCAAATCAACAGTGTCTAAAATCAGTAAGACAGAAATTATTAGTGTAAACATGACATTTAGAATTATTGAAGGATGATCATAAAAACTGCTTAAGGTGCTTAAAAGTAGCTGCCATTATGGAATGAAGCTCTGGATCAGGAGACTGCTCTTTTTATTAGGAGCCTTTTAGTAATAGTTTTAAATTATGTGTATTAAAAAAATTTTTTTTAGATGTTGATGAACATTTATTTTATTCATTATGTGGTCCTAAGAATCGAACCCAGGGTCTCACACATGCTAGGCAAGAGCTTTACCACTGAGCCACAACTCCAGCCTTAAATTATGTGCATCTTTTACTTAAATAATTTTTTTAATTAAGAAGAAAAGGAGTCTAGTGTGGTGCTATTTATATTTTCCACTCAGGGATAGTCCAGCAATATAATCTTGATTCGAAATGAACAAGGAGAGAACATTTTACTGCCTCATGTGAAATAGAGCTCATTCAGTGTAGCTAAATGGAATTGATAATTGCTCTGACCCACCTCTGCCCTGGGGAAATATTTATCAAATAAGTACTACTATGAGACAGACACCACTCTAGGTATTGGGATCTGAATAAAATAGAAACAAGTATTTTTATTTGGTCATCAGAAAAAGTTGGAAAGCCTTTTCCCTTAGCTAAATAACACTTTAAGTTATAGTCCACCTATGGTATTCTCAGAGATTGGTTTCAGGACTCACTTTTCACCCCCATGGATTCCAAAATCTGAGATGCTCAAGTCCCTTCTGAAAAATGGCATAGTATGTTCATAGTACCACGTCCTTCTGCATGCTTTAAATCATCTCTAGATGAGAACTAATACAATTTAAGTGCTAAGATAATAGTTGTTATACTGTATTGTTTAGGGAATAATGCCAAGAAAACTCACCTATACATGTTCAGTACAGGCACGATTTTTGGGAATATTTTCTATCTGTGATTGGTTGAATCTGCATATGCTAAACCCAAAAACATGGAGGGAAACTGGATAAACCAGCATTTTTTTATTTGCCCTCTTTACTTCTGCCCCAGCTTTTATTTAAATTTGGCCAGGAACAGCATAACCTTGTGATGATAAATAGCAAATGTTCGGGTTCTTTAGGACATTGCATAGCATTTCTTATTCAGCATCCCCTCTGTACTTATGATCTTCTGTGCTCAAGTGAGCCCCACTTGTATGGCCAAGTTTAGGGAGTCTGGCATAATCTTTCTACTAAACAGTTCCTGGCAGGATGTTCATATCCTTGTGTGGTTCTTAGAGCAAAAAGATACTAATACCATTGATACTAATATTGATCATATACTTTTAAACATTCTTAACATCTATTATTTCATTGCATTGTCTTTGAAGAGATGAGCATTATTCATGTTTTACAGATTGAGGGTTTAAATGACTTTCCCAACTACATATTGGTAGTTGACAGAGGTAAAGGTTGAACTAGTGTCTTGATTTGGTCCTGAACTCATTTTACTGTCCAACTCTTTTCCCTTAAGACTATGGGAAATAATTTCAACCTTAAGTACCACAGCATCTTTGATCTCACTTTGATTCTCTCCTCAGATTAATTCATTTGGCAATCAGACAAAAATCTGTCTTTCTTTAAAAAAAAAAATCCACAAATTTTTGCCAGGTGTGGTGGCACATGTTTATAATCCCAGTTACTTATTACATGGAAATGGAGGGAGACCCTCATTGTTATACAAAATTACATATAAGAGGATGTGAGGGGAAAGGGGAAAAAAAAGAGAAATGAATTACAGTAGATGGGGTAGAGAGAGAAGAGGGGAGGGGAGGGGAGGGGAGGGGGGGGGGGGGGGGGGAGGATAAGAAAGGCAGCAGAATACAACAGACACTAGTATGGAAGTATGTATAAACATGGATGTATAACCAATGTGATCCTGCAATCTGTACACTTGGTAAAAATACGAATTCATAATCCACTTGAATCAAATGTATGAAATATGATATGTCAAGATCATTGTAATATTTTGAGCAACCAATAAAAAAATCCCAGGGGCTGGGGATGTGGCTCAAGCGGTAGCGCGCTCGCCTGGCATGCGTGCGGCCCGGGTTCGATCCTCAGCACCACATACCAACAAAGATGTTGTGTCCACCGAGAACTAAAAAATAAATATTAAAAATTCTCTCTCTCTATCTCTCTCTCTCCTCTCTCACTCTTTCTTTAAAAAAAAAAAAATCCCAGTTACTTGGTAGGCTAAGGCCGAAGGAATACAAATTAGAGCCAATTTGGGTGACTTAAACCCTGTAGCTCAGTGATAGAGGACCATGGGTCCTATCCCCAGGACTGCAAACAAAACAAACTTTTATTGCTTTTTTTTTTTTTCCTTTTTTTCATAAAGCTCTTTACTTAAACCTATTTCCTTAAATGAAATTCCTGTGTATGCTTTTTGGGATCTTTAAATAATCTATTGCTAAGCTATCTATCCAGCATTATCTTTCATTTTTCCCTTCACATGTGTCCTTTGTTGAAATCAGGCATATCTCTTTTCTAAGTGTTTTTTAAGCTCAAACCCATTCCTGCTTCCTGACTTCACTGTGTACTTTCTCTTATTTAGCCTGTCCTTTGGAGGTCTGTCCAAGGCCTTTCTTGTAACTATGATTAGCTTTAAGTGTTTCTGTTTTGACTGCATATTTCTCTTATAGTCTGTACTGTATATTTTTTCTATATCATCATTACTTTTAATGTGGTATTATTTCAGTGCTAATTGTTTTCACATGGATAAATTTGCCAGAATTTAAGTCTCTTGACAAGAGAAATCAAATCCCTTACATGCCTAGAACAATCCTTGAACACACATGCCAGGTACTCTTTATTTATTTATTTACTTATTTATTTATCTAAATCAGTTATACATGACGCAGGATGCTCTTTGTACACAAATGGAGTACAATTTTTGACTTCTGATTGTACCCCAAGTAGGATCTCACCATTTATGCAATCATACATGTATCTTGGTCTCACTCCACCATCTTTCCTACTCCCATGCTCCTCCCCCACCAGGTACTCTTTAAATACTAGTTATTCCAATAAATATACCCATGTAGCAGTTCACTGTGATGGTAATGATGATCCAGATGGATACAGGTTTCTCTGAAATTGCATCTATCTCTTTACTTTGATCAAAAATGTACTTGATAATGACTTTTACATTTCCTTCTTCCCTGCCTTTGTCTTGGTGATAGGCTGTCGATGATGTGAAGAAAGGTTACATCAAAGCAGAGGAAAAGTCTTACCAATTACAGAAACTATATGAACAAAGGAAAATGGTCATGGTAAGTTAATGTCCCCATAATACTTTTATAAAATGCCCCCTTTTACCTCTTAAACCTGTTGTTCCAGTCATTTTTGAAAGGTCCTGCAGCCTGATAAGTGACTTAACTAATTTAAAAAAAAAAAAAAGAAGAAGAAGAAGAAGGGATATGTAGATGTTGATGCAGGCAGTTATAATTCCTCCATTTAGCACCCAGAAAGCTTGGATTACTATACATCTATACATAGGCATATAATTTTTATTATTAATAATAACTAAACATTTTTTTATAAAAGAAGTGCTAAAACAGATATACAAAACATTATGATATGCTGAAGATAAAATTGTGTAATAACGACATTTATTTTATTTATTTTTTTATTTTTATTTTTTTAAGAATTTTTTTAGGGGCTGGAGATGTGGCTCAGCGGTAGCGCGCTCGCCTGGCATGCGTGCTGCCCAGGTTCGATCCTCAGCACCACATACAAACAAAGATGTTGTGTCTGCCGATAACTAAAAAATAAAATATTAAAAAAAAAAGAATTTTTTTAAGGGCTGGGGATGTGGCTCAAGTGGTAGCGTGCTTGCCTGGCATGTGTGCAGCCCGGGTTCGATCCTCAGCACCACATACAAACAAGGATGTTGTGTCCGCGGAAAACTAAAAAATAAATATTAAAAATATTCTCTCTCTCTCTCTCTCTCTCTCTCTCTCTAAAAAAAAAAAAAAAAAGAATTTTTTAATATTTATTTATTTATTTTTTTTTTTAGTTTTCGGCAAACACAACATCTTTGTTTGTATGTGGTGCTAAGGATCAAACCCAGGCCACACGAGCCAGGCGAGTGCGCTACCGCTTGAGCCACATCCCTAGCCTCTAATAATGACATTTAGACTTTCTTTTTTTGTTTTGTTTTGTTTTGTAACCCAGGATTGAACCCATGGGTGCTTAACCACTGAGCCACATCCCCAGCCCTTTTTTATATTGTACTTAGGGCATCATTAAGTCACTGAGGCTGGCTTTGAACTCGAAATCCTTCTGCCTCAGCCTCCCAAACTGCTGGGATTGCAGGTGTGTGCCACTGAGCACAGATAGATTTTTTTTTTTTTAAAGAGAGTGAGAGAGGGAGAGAGAGAAAGAATTTTTTTAATATTTATTTTTTAGTTATTGGCAGACACACATCTTTGTTTGTATGTGGTGCTGAGAATCGAACCTGCCAGGCGAGTGCGCTACTGCTTGAGCCACATCCCCAGCCCACAGATAGATTTTTAACATTACAAGTTTTTTTAATTGTGATTTAGTAGTAGCAAAATAATTTGTTTTTACAACTTACATTTCTGCAGTTGATTGGACATTTATGCTTAGTTGTGCTTTGGTTTGTCTGATATCCTAGAGTTGTGGTGTTTGATTTGGCAGCTACTATTTCACATGTGACCATTTAAATCTAGATTTAAATTCATTTGAATAAAGTTTAAAATTCAGTTCTTTGGTTGCAGTAGCCACATTTCAAGGGCTAAGTAGCTATATGTGGCTAGTAGCTGTCATATTAGAAACACAAATATAGAACATTTTCATTACCACAGAAAATTCTGTTGGACAGTGTTGCTTAAGATGTTCCTTAAATGTTTTAAAGTTAGTTTTCAATTTGCATCTGCTACAAATACTGGAATGGGAATTGTCAAAAATTAGTAAAGAAAACATACAAAAATTTTCACTCATATCTTAGAATTTCTCTTTTGGCAGGTTCACATGTAGTTGAAATTTTTCCGTTTATTTTTCATGATTTCACACGGGGTAGTACTTGCATTTGTAATGATTCTGATAGCTCACTTGAATTATTTTGTACCTTCTGTATGCTTTTTATGAGGGAATATTCATCTATTTAAATTAATTGAGGGCTGGGGATGTGGCTCAAGCGGTAGCGCGCTCGCCTGGCATGCGTGCGGCCCAGGTTCGATCCTCAGCACCACATACAAAGATGTTGTGTCCGCCGAAAACTAAAAAATAAATATTAAAATTCTCTCTCTCTCTCTCTCTCTCACTAAAAATAAAAATAAAAAAATAAATTAATTGAGTTGGATAAGACTACAAAGAAGTCAATCATTGACCTTAGTCTATAATCTCATATCTAGGTAGGATAGTTATTTTATCATGTATCTGATGGAAAGTAATAAGTCTCTTTTTGGCCCAGAAAATTACCAAAGATTGGGGAGCTGTCTTACCAATGTAAGATATGTACCTCTTGTACATATCAAGAGGCTGAAATAGAAAATGCAAAAATCTTTTAAATATAATTAAATCTTGGCAGAATTTTGGGGAAGGAAATTCTTCAGTGTTTGAGACAGGATTTTAAAATGCAACTTCCACCTGTTTTTTTTTTTTAAGATAATGACATTTTCTTCTATATATTAATAGATCATTCTAACCAATACATTTACATCTTTTTGGTGATGAGGGCTAAATACTAAAAGGCCTAAACCTCTGCAGTAGTTCTTTGATTCTGCCAAAGCCAACGAAGTCTTCCTGTTCCTAAAAAGATAATAGAAATCAAAGTAGTTTCACAATACGTATTGTTTCTTTGTATAAACAGGACTCCAAACACTATCCTTCTATTTATATGTTCAACAAAAAAATACTTCTTGAGCACCAAGTATGTACCAGTCACAGTACAAGGTACTAGAGAAGTAAATAGGTTTGGATTGTTCTTTAGCAAAATATAGGAAATCTGAATTTAATTAAAGCACAGAAATCTATTATCAAGTCATTTTTAGACTCAGTTTTGTAATTTCATAGTCACCCAGTTAAGAACTAGAGTTTAGTTGATACACAGATGTTTTTCCATGAGTCATTTTAGGCAAGGACTATAAAATATGCTTAAACATTTATGGAATTCTGTTGTGTTGGAAACTTAGCCAACATGTAAGTATGTTGGGAAGGAAATCTCACCAAAGTTTGAATTTTTATGTATTCAAGTATCTGTGTTCAAAGACAGCCTAGCTAATATCATCTCAGACATGCCCTTCAGGTCCTGGTACACTAACTACAATAACTTAGCGTGGTTTGATAGGACTGCACTTAGGCCAAATCACTATATTTAGTTGCTAAATTACCATGAGATCTGCAGCAACTCAATAAGATTCTCAGTTTTAGTTCCTTTCCCACAAAATGCCAATATTCAGTTTGTCAGCTATCAAATAGAATCTTGACAAAATACTTCAGGATTCTTAGTCAGTTAATAAGATTTGTGTACGTTCCCCGTGTCCTTCAATATAAAGGACAGCTCATATCCTTGCCAATAATACCCAGTGTCATCAAAAACATTTTTTTTAATCTTCTTATTACCAAGTTAGAATGAATCTCAAATTTGGCTGGTTGAGAATATAATGTACAAGTCTGTTTTCCTTCCCTGCCTCCTTCCTTACTCTTGCTTATGCTGTCTTCTTTCTTTTTCGGCTCATACAAATGATAGACATGTATAAGTTATGCTTTGCTTATGTTGAGGTGGCCTGTTTACCATTGTTAAACAGAGTTTTTATATTATTAATGTTTCTCAGCACAATTTGTAATGATTTCACCCAAGGCAGTATGTATGAAAGTCAATGTTTCTCAAAGTGTGGTCCCCAGCCCACTTCCACGGAAATCACTTTGGAAGCCCCTTAAAATGCAGATTTTAACCCTACCTCATGTCTTCTAAGCCAGAGCTTCTGGGGGTAGGACCTAGGGATCTTTTTTTCATAAAGCACACTGGTAATTCTGAAACCTTAGATACTCCAGTATCACTCTATAGGGCTTAGGAAGAGTTGGTACTCAAGAGTCCTCTCAAGCCTTTGTTTCAATTTTAGACCAGTTTTGACCCTTGGTAGATTGAGGAGCACAGAGAGTTCTTCAGAGTGGACCTTGACTCATTCTCCCAAAGTGTTCTGTTAAATACTGAATCTCTGTATTAATAACTGTCCTATTTATGTATTTACCTGTCTTGCTGAATATTGAACATTTATAAAATGTCCCTTACTATATTAAATGTCCCTTTCCTCTTCTCTGGCGTAAATGGGCCGCTATGTAAGTGGTATATGAATCAAGGAAGGTAATTCAGGGTCATATTTAGCTACTTAAAACTTAATATGAAAGAAGAATTGGCAGGATAATTTTGTGTTTTAAATGTGTTATGAATATGTCTGAGGGCTGGGGATGTGCTTGCCTAACACAGTGTGAGGCCCTGGGTTTGATACTCAGCAAAACATAAAATAAATAAATAAAGGTATTGTGTCCAACCATAACTAAAAAATAAAAAATATGAAAGCAAAAATCTGTGTGTGTGCATGTGTGTATGTGAGAGATAAACAGACAGATATACTGGGGATTAAACCCAGGGGTATTCTACCACCCCAGCACTTTTTATTTTTTTATTTAAATAGGATTGATCTGAGTTGCCCAGGCTAACCTTGAACTAATGATCTTCCTGCCTTAGCCGTCCCAGTAGCCAGGATTACAGGCATGTACCACCATACCTGGCAAAAATTCACCTTTCCTAATTTTGGATTTATGTTTAATTTTAAGTGTTTCTCTTTTTTAAGCTTGGTGCAAACCCAGGAATGTTGGGATTACCCACCTGAAATTGAGACATATTACCCAACCAGAGAATCTCAGGAAACCTTAAGTCTGTTTCCCAGTGAGACCTTACCCATGACTTCTTACAAGGACACAGGTGCCTTAGTTTTTTATTTTAGAACTTATGATTTCAGTAAGAAGCCCCCCAAAGGTCTTTTGCTTTCAAGAACCTTTGGGGGTTTTTTGGAATCAGCTTATTTCACTTAGCATGATAGTCTCTAATTCCATCCATTTATCATCAAATGCCATAATTTCATTTTTCTTTATGGCTGAGTAACCATTGTGTTATATATACACCACATTTCTTTATCCATTTACCTGTACAAGGGCACCTAGCCTGGTTCCATAGTTTAGCTATTGTGAATTGAGCTGCTGTAAATATTGATGTGGCAGAGTCACTATATTATGCTGATTTTAAGTCATTTGGGTATATGCCAAGGAGTGGGATAACTGGGTCAAATGGTGGTTCCGTTTAAAGTTTTCTGAGGAATCTCCATACTGCTTTCCAGAGTGGTTGTACCAATTTGCAGTCCCACTAGCAATATACGAATGTACCTTTCCCCCCATATCCTCATCAACACTTATTATTACTTGGATTCTTGATAATTGTTGTTCTGACTGTAGTGAGATGAAATCTCAGTGTAGTTTTGCTTTGTATTTCTCTAATTGCTAGAGATGTTGAACATTTTTTCATATATTTGTTAACTGACTGTATTGTTTCTCTAAAGTGCCTATTCAGTTTCTTTGCCCATTTATTGATTGGGTTATTTGGGTTTTTCTTTTAAATATTTATTTTTCAGTTGTCATTGGATACAATACATATATCTTATTTATTTATTTATTTTTATGTGGTGCTGAGGATCGAACCCAGGGCCTCGCATGTGCTCAGCGAGCACTCTACTGCTGAGCCACAACCCCAGCCCCTTATTTGAGTTTTGTTTTTTTTGTTTTTTTTTTTTTTTGGTGTTAAGTGTTAATAACTGTCCTATTTATGTATTTACCTGTCTTGCTGAATATTGAACATTTATAAAATGTCCCTTACTATACTAAATACATTTTAGTATATTTTGAGTTCTTTATATGTCCTGAAGATTAATGCTGTATCTGAGGTACAGATGTCAAAGATTTTCTCCTCTTCTGTAGGCTTTTCTCATTCTTAATTGTTTCCTTTAATGTGAAATAGCTTTTTAGTTTGATACCATCCCATTTGTTGATTCTTTTTTTAAAGTTTTGTTTTTTTTTTTTTTTAGTTGTCAAGGGACCTTTATTTTATTAATTTGTTTTTTGTGTTGCTGTGGATCAAACCCAGTTCCTCACACATTCTGGGCAAGCTCTCTACCACTGAGCCACAATCCCAGTCCCTGTTTGTTGATTCTTTATTTTACTTCTAGCACTTAATGAGTCTTGATAATAAAGTCGGTTCCTAAACTGACATGATGTAGATTTGGGCCTACTTTTTCTTCTATTAGGTGCAGGATCTCTGGTCTCATGTCTAGATCCTGATCCACTTTGAGTTGAGTTTTGTGCAGTGTGAGAGAGAGGGGTTTAGTTTCATTCTACCACATATGGATTTCTATTTTTCCTAGCACCATTTGTTGAAGAGGGTATCTTTTCTTCATTGTATGTTTATGGTGCCTTTGTCTAGTATGAGATAACTCTGTGTGTACTGTTCCATCCCATTGATCTTCATGGCTATTTTTGTGCCAATACCATACTGTTTTTGTTATTATAGCTCTGTAGTAAAATTTAAAATCTTGTATTGTGATACCTCCTGCTTCACTTTTTCTCACTAAGGATTTCTTTGGCTATTCTGGGTCTCTCATTTTTCCAAATGAATTTCATGATGAGCAGGGCCAGTCTTAAGGCTCCATGATATCCACTGGCATTTGCAGAAGCCTTAATATCATTGAGCAGAAATGCTGCTTACTAAGCATGTCAGGGTTTCTGATAACTCTGAGGGGGTCATGGCTTGGACTGTATGCTGAAGGTCTGGTTGCAGGGAACTTCTTTTTCCATTAACATTTTATTTTAAAAAGTTTTCAAATACACTAGTACAGTAAGCTATTACTACTTTCACCTCCCTGGTAGCCAGGATTACAGGTATGCATCCCCATACCTGGCAGGACCTCACCTTTCCTGATTTTGGACTTAGGTTTAATAAATAGCCCAGTCAGCCCTTATGCACCCATTTTCAGCTTCAGCAGCCTTCAGCTCTCCACTCATGTTTCATCTATTTCAGTCACAGGCTTATTTTCCCCTGGAGTTTTATCCTTTGTCTTCTCTGCTGGCATTGAACCCAGAGCCTCATACCTGGTAGGCAAGTGCCCTGCCACTGAGCTGCATGTCCAGCCCTTTTCCTGGAGTTTTTAAAAGTAATTTCCAGGACAGGGGATGTGGTTCGGTGATAAGAATGCTTGCCCAGCATGCATGAGGCCCTGGATTAAGTCCCTAGAATCCATAAATATAATTTCCAAGTATTTAATTTTTTTAATATTTTTTATTTTGTTTATTTTTATGTGGTGCTGAGGATGGAACCCAGTGCCTCACACATGGTAGACAAGCGCTCTACCACTGAGCCACATCCCCAGCCCCCCAAGTATTTAATTTTCTAGGGTGTTCTTGAGAGAGAAAATGGTTGACTAATGATAATAGAGCTTTAAAAATTTTTAAGTTATCATTTATTAAATACATAATTATGTACCAAGTACTATACTAAATACTTTATATTGAATGCAGTAACATTATAGGTGCTATTACTGTTTCCCACCTTCTAGAAGAGAAAGCCTCCGGGGATGAATTTGCCTGAGTTCAAGTAACCTGCCTAGAGTTGCACTGTTAGGAAGTCATGGGGTCAGATTAGATCCCCCCCCCCTCAGGGAAAGAGAGGGTCACACTGAATGGTGCGGTGGTGCTTTCTAGCTCTGAAGTCTGGGTGACAGTGTCTCTTCTGTCTCCTACTTACATGTCTTTAGATAGAGAAAAGAGGATTGGCAGTGTGGAGGCAGAAACTGGGAGTGGGTAAAGGCTGCCCTGGAATTCTTTCCAGTCCAGGAAGGGATTGAGACCCAGGGCAGGTCTTTGGGTTCCCCTTGCTTTTCTCAGCAACTCTCCTCTGTGCTTCCGTGTCATTGTAACACTGTTTCCCTTCCTTTCTGCCTAGTACCTCAACATGCTAAGGACTTGTGAGGGCTACAATGAGATCATTTTCCCCCACTGTGCCTGTGACTCCAGGAGGAAGGGGCATGTTATCACAGCCATCAGCATCACACACTTTAAGCTGCATGCCTGCACTGAAGAAGGACAGCCGGAAGTGAGTCTCCCATGGACCGGGCTGCAGCACTGCAGACGGGCTCGCTCGCTTGCTGTGCTAGTGCTTCTTTGTGAAGGAAATGAGATCCGAACTGTGTTTTGATTGGGGTGATTTGATGGGATCCACCCTGACCCTTCACTTCACTGGCTGCCCCCCGCCCTTTATTCTTTTGTCAATGTCTGAACCCTGAAATGCTGCAGCCATCTCCACTCATTTCTCTTCTGCTTCCCGGCTCAGAACTCCCTTCCCTCACTCCCCACACTCTCAAACTCAAACTGTAGGCCTTACTCTCTCGTTCTTGGTTGTCCAGAACCAGGTCATAGCGTTTGAATGGGACGAGATGCAGCGATGGGACACAGATGAAGAAGGCATGGCATTCTGTTTTGAATATGCGCGAGCAGAGAAGAAGCCCCGATGGGTTAAAATCTTCACACCATATGTGAGTGGGAGATGGGGAGCATACTTAGGGAAAGGAGATTGGGCTTTAGGTTTCCTTCAGGCTGCGTACATAAATGGAGAGACTGAGACAGACAGACACAGAGTTTTCTTGAGATGGAAACCTTTCTGAATCCTAGAGCCCCTGGTTCAGCCTGTTTTTTCCTTTAGGCCCACCAGGATCAACAGTTTCCCATCCCACTTGGCTCACAGAGTTACCACTAGGGGGAGCTAGAGAACGGAAGGTGGCCAGGCCTGGAGTCAGCCAGGGTTTTCTCTGTACTGAGTGGGTTTGGAAGAATGGGTGACCTGGCTCTGAGAAGTAGTGAGTGTTACTGTTTTTTTTCCCCCAGTTCAATTACATGCATGAATGCTTCGAGAGAGTGTTCTGCGAGCTCAAGTGGAGAAAAGAGGTAATTTTGAAAAATCCTTGATTTCTTCATTTTTTGTGTGTATTTAAAATTTGTAGGCCCATGGCCAAATACCTGGGACCCTCACCTCCATTTCTGTCTTTCTAGGAATATTAGTTAGAGCCTGGTTATCTCATGTGTGCCAGGACATTCTTCCAGCAAGGCTGGCTTCTGGATGGTGAATGGGCTGTGAAAAAGGCCCTGCTTCTTCCCTTGTCTAGAGGGTGGACGGTGGCTACAGGCTCTTCCATCTCTCATGACTTCATGGACTCTCTTCTTCCTGTTTCATTTTATTTTGAATCAAATCACCCTCCATGTTCTCCCTGACCCAGAAGGGCAGCTGTCCTCAGATTTAGCTGTCTGACTCGATGAGTCATGATAGTCTCTAAATTAACAAAGAATGTGTATGCAGGGGGAAGTTTTTGCTACTGCCATCTGTAGGTATCAGTGCTAGAGCAGAATTTAGAATATTCTGAATAATTAGGTAGGGGCTGGAGATGCAGCTCAATGGTAGAGCACTTGCCTTACATATGCAAAGCTCTGGGTTTCGAGCCTCAGCACCATCACCAAAAAAAACCAAAAAACTGAAATACGAAAACAAACTTAAAAATCAGCTGCTGCGGGGCTGAGATTATGGCTCAGCGGTAGAGCTCGCCTAGCACGAGAGGGGCACTGGGTTTGATCCTCAGCACCACATAAAACTAAATGAATGGAATAAAGGTATTGTGTCCAACTACAACTAAAAAAATAAATATTTTTTTTAAATTAGCTGCGTACTCAAAATCAGGATCAGGAGGTTAAATCAGAATATGAAAGTTTATATTCATATAGCAAAAAGAACATTAGATTCTGGGACTCATATCTAGGTTTTCTCCTAGCTTTCTTTTTCTATAATTTTGAGTAACCTCCTTAGATCTGAGTTTCCTCTTCTATAAAATAGGACCTTTTAGTTCTAGAAGTCTGTGATTCTAGATGGAAGATGTATTAGGGGAAGAGGCCAAAAAGATTGAATCATCAGCCATACACCGTTTTAGTTTCTGTTGGGGATTGTCTCGAGATTGGAGGAGATGTAGCTTCCCAGTAACTCTTTTCTTTTTTTCCTTTCAGAACATTTTCCAGATGGCAAGGTCACAGCAGAGGGATGTGGCCACCTAGCCTTCCCTTTTCCCCTTCCCTTCGTCCTCTTCCTCTTATCCTTCTTGTCTCCCATGTCAGACAGAGTAACCATTAACACAAAAGAAGAGAAAAGGAAAAAAGTCATTATATTCAAAAGCCCTGATCTAAATATTCTTAATAACTCCCTCTGAATTTCATGTATCTGGAATTGAGCTGGTAGAGAACAATAGATGGTCAGTACCAGAAGTCCACTGAGTTAAGACAGGAAAAGAAGTAAGCCCAGCCAACTCGCCAAAGGTGTCTGTCCTTTCTCCTGGGCCTCACATCGACAGACTCTCCTTGTACTATATTTTTAAAACTGGAACTATGAACTTCATCCATTTGCACTGTTCAGACATATATATGTATGTATGTAAAAAATTATATATACACAAATTAACTGCACGTATATACATATATATATATTTCTTTTTAAATTTCATATTGATGGCAGTACCTTTTTTAGCTTGTGTTTTTACACACCTTTCACTAGAATTCATGACCTCTCTCTTGCTCTCTTTATTTTGAAACAAACTTTTAAAAGGAAAAAAAAAATTACAGGGAAAATACCTCTCCTCATGAAGGACTCGAAAAGTTTACAACCTGCTTGGGTTTTTTCCCCCCTTTTTTGTATCGAGTGCAGTTTCTGGCTCATGGGTTGCCATAGAGTCTGAGGAGCAAGGAGCATAGAGTGTCTGTCTTCCAAGAAGGTGCTGGGGAGGAGAAGGAGGTGTGTTTCTGGGACAGCAAGGCTGCAGATCTGCAGGAGAGTCTGTAGACTTGGTGTGATGTGATTCCAGGGCAGTGTTCCTGGCCCACGCTCCCATTCATGGCTTTCTAGCCCATTGTGCATCTCCTTCCTGCTTCTCTAGGGCACCTCATGTGCTTTCCCTTAACTGGCCCAGAGCCAAGTTGAGCATGGGCTCAGGACACCGATGCCGCAGGAACCCGAAGCACCTCCCGGTAGTCATTTTCCAGACACCTTAGGCATGAAGGTGGGACTTACAGAGGGAAAGGGAGGAAGGGGTACTGTGTGACAGGTCTTACTGCTCCATTCCTGCCGAGAACCCCCAGAACTGTTAACTCCCTGTGACTTCCTTCCGCAGAGCGTTGGGGAGGGATCTGACAGTGTCTTCAGGGCCTTAAGGGAAAGTCGGAAGGGGACTGTGGTCTAATCAAACCATGGCCTGCCTAAACCAGCTAAGAACCCAGGAAGGCATGGGATTATGGTAGATTTGGGTTGGATCTCCATCTTTTACTTCCACCTTGGAAGGAAAACCTTTTTGTCCCTCCAAGTTCCTCATCTGATTTTGCAGCTAAAGCCAGGTCTGATAAGTAGAGTCACATTCCCGGCTCTGTACTGTATCCTGAGCTCTATACGATTGAGTAAGAAGCACGAAGTCAGGCTCAGATGCAAGTGAAACACATCTTTGAACCTTCTTTTTTCCCCTCTTCACCTTTGAAATAAAAACCTCCACAGGATGGCATGGTCTGCTTTGTGTGCCAGGAAATCAGTCAGAATTGGTTGTAGTCGGCTCCACTGAGCAGTGTGGGGTGATTTGAAATTTCTCTTTTTTATAACTGTCACCCTGTTATCCTGGCAGCCACTTGCCCTGGGGACCTTTCTCCAAACCCAAGTGGAATCAGCATATAAAACATAAGAATGTTAATCTTTATTAAAGTTGCCGAGGGTACTCATGGTTTGAAGGCTTTAGTATAGGATTGACTCCTTTTGGCTTAAATGAATTTGATAATGAGCCAAAGGACCCTAAAAAGAAGATATGTTTATTTCCACTTCAAGATGCTACAGATACAGAGGCTTTTGGCACCAGCTTTGTTTAAACTGTAAAAATAGCAGCAGTGCACCCCTCCTTCCGCTAGAGGGAGAGGGATGAACACACCCGTGAGTCTGTGCGCAGCCCGAATGCTGACCTCCTACACACAGGCCGCCTAGAGATTTGGAGGCCCCTGAGAGTGGGCAGATGGTGCGCGCTCCCTCTCTGACTAGGATTCACTTGGTTCTTTGGAGTCTGGGTGAAGGGCCTCATAGGTAGTTAGCCTGCTGGCAGAATCTGTTGGGGGACAGCCTGTACTTGGGGGTATCCCAAGACAAAGCACCCAGCTGCAGTAAGCAGGTGGGAAGGAGGGAGAGCCTAAAGGGTGGCATCTTGTCCTTCATGTACTCCAGGCCTCCAGTAGTGGAGGCAGAGGTCGCTGTGGCTGTGGAGGTCCACAGGATCGAGCCGAGCCCTTCTTTGCATGAAGCGGTGTCAGGTGTGACCCTACTTTCCCCTCCTCCCCTGCACTTCCTTTCTCTAATTCCTGCTCTTTCTCTTGGTCCTGGCTTCTACCCAGGGAGGTGTCTACCCAGTCTTCTTTTGCAGTTTGTCTCTGGGAAATGGGGCTCCCCGTCCCCCAGCTTCACCCCAGCAGAACCACAGGGTCTTCTTGGCCTCTCGCTGTTGTTCCCTCCATACTGGCCTTCTGTCCTCTGGGGCAAAAGCTCAGAGCTTTTTATGGAGCAGCAGAAAATGTAGGCCCTGAGAAACCTGTCCCTGTGGAAAGGTTCCCTTGGGCCACACTTTGAGCGCTCTGCTCTGTGTATTTTCATTCTATTCTTCAGTTCTCTGCCCTCCCCTTGCCCTAGGCCTAAGCTCAGCACAAGTACAGATAAGTGTGTGCTGGGCAGCTCCTAGGCCTGGACAGAGCCCTCAGGGAGGAATTAGATAAATATTCCAGCATCCTCATGCCTGGCCCAGTTAGTTCTCTAGTTACCTGGGCCAGTAGCTTTGGGTTATCCCCTTTTGAAGCTCCAAACCCTATGCTTGGAACAGCAAAATAGGGCACTGACTGGAGGTGGCACCTTTCTCTCTCATCTCAGAATTTGCCAACTTATAAGCCGAGCTACTCGGAGGCAGTTTGACCTGAAGTCTCCCTGTCCACATTGCGCTGTCCGGCTGGACTGGCTCAGCAGTAGACCTCAGCACACTGCTGCTCCTTCTCCAGCCCCGCTGGACCACACTGGCTTCCCCTGATGGGGGCTGAGTGGCTGAGCACTCAGAGAGGGAGTGGCAGAACATAGGCAGGGGGGGTGCTTCTGTAGCCCTCCCCTCCTGCCGCATCCTGCCAGGCCTCGTTCACTGCAGGATGGCAGCAGCTCACTCCTCAGCAATAATCTAGGGTGTGGGGGAAGCTTAGGGCTTAGGGAGGGACAGACCTAAACAGGGGAGTGACGTGGGCTGGGGGTACTTGGCCAACTGCAAAACTTGGACACCAGTTTTATTTCACGCCCCTATTCAGCTGGTGAGCTGGGCTTCAGTTTTTCCCAGGCCATGCATACTTTTAATTTATTTGAGAGAAACTCTAATTGTATTTTCACTGCAGTATCTTGTATTTTTTATTTGTGATTTAAGAAATGTGAAGAGAAAATACACAGACACATAATGGCTAACAGTGTTTCTTTCATTCCTTGTTCTAGAGCTAACCACTCTAAAATTGTTTGGTAATGTCACTTAGTGTAATTAATTGTAACATATTCTTTTAAATAAATTGATTTATTGATGAAACAATTCTTTGGTTTCCTAGACTACAAATCCTTTGGGTTGTGTGGGAAGAAGGGAAGAGGGACCTTTGAGATTTGAGTTTAGAGTGGTCAATCTGAAAGTGAGAAGGAACATTTAACCAGTTTTTATCTAACCGGATAACTAGTGGGGCAGTCTTTGGAAGGCAGGGCATGAAGGAGAGTATAGCAGAGAGAAGCCAGGGAGGTCCTGGTTTGCAGTTCTGTGCCCAGTAGCTCCTTTGAAAATTCCTTTTCTCTCTCAGTTCTCAGAGGTGACTGAGCTTGGCCCTCCTGTCTGCTGGTCATTCGCCGCATTCCTTCCCAGCTGAGAACAGTTAAGGCCCCAGAACCCTTGGGACAGCGTTTGGCACTGGCCTCCCCAGCCCAGCCCAGCCCAGCCCAGCAACATGCATAGACTTTCTCATTTTTCAAGGAACTCGGGAAGCTTTCTCTTACGGGGATCTGAACTAAAAAGTACACATTACCCCTAATGAATGCCTAGGAAATACTAGGCACTCGGGGTGCTTGTACCCCTTCTTCTGCCCACATCTCTGAGGATGTGGCTCCACTCACCTGCTCAAGATCACCTGCTCTTTTATGGACTGAACCAGCTCTGAAAAGCATTTGTAGTGGATCAGACATTTTTGTTGTTTTTATTAATCTTGCTTATTGTTTTTATAATCCCTGACTAGGTACTTTTGGTACTTAATTGATATAAGAGCAAGGAGCAGTTTGATGTTTGGTTTTTTGTTGTTGTTGTTTGGGGGCGGGGGAGTGTCCTGGGAATTGACCTGGTGCTTTACTACTGAGCCTTTTTTTTTTTTGAGGCAGGATCAGAATTGTTTGGGGCCTCACTAAGTTGCTGAGTCTGGCCTTCAACTTGTGATATTCCTGCTTCAGCCTCCCAAATCACTGGAATTACAGGCCTGTGCCACTGTACCTGGCTTCCAGTTTGACATTTTCTTTGTCATTCAGGGTCTTCTGCACCAGCCACTGGTGTTGCATATTTGGAATCGGATAAATATTACTATGTAAATGGGAAAAAGTTTGTTTTTTTTTTTAACAAGAATACATGGAGAGGATTAGAAAGTAGGATTACAAAATTAGAATTAGATTAAAGTCAACAAACATTAAATATCTACCATGTATTGGGCATTGTATTAAGAAACTACAACATTTAAAAAAGCAAAGAAAAACATTCTACTCGCTTACAGCCTCACAGAGAATGAAACACAAATGGCCTTAATGCACAGTGGCAGGTTTCAGATTGCTATAAGGACTAGAGAAGGAGGGACCAGAACAGAGGGACCTGGGGAAGAGGGCCAAAAGGAGGTCTTCGTGAAGGAAGGGTGTTTACGGTGAGTCACTTAACATGAGCAGATTTCATCAAGCTGGCATCCAACAACCATGTGTCTGGCACTAGTGATGGAGATTGGAGACAGAAGGGGCCGGGTGTGACGCACAAGCTTATAATCCCAGCAGCTGGGGAGGCTGAGGCAGGAGGATCACAAGTTTGAGGTCAGCTTCAGCAACCTAGCAAGGCCCTGACTCAAAAAAGGGCTGAGGATGTGGCTCAGTGGTTAAAGCAGCCCTGGATTCAATCCCTGGTACCAAAAGAAAAGAGAAGGGGGTAAAAAGAATCAGCCTTGTCCAGAGAAATGCAAGAGTCCTGCTGGAGCAGGGCTTAGTGTGTAGAATGAAGTGAAAGTAAGACCTTGAAGAGCTTTGGTGCCAGGGAGGTGTGAGGAAGAAGAGGGGTCGGGGAAGAGGAAAAGAAGAAAGAAGAAAAAAACTTATCAGTTTGAGTTAATAAGTAGAAGCAGTGGATAATTGGAAGGAAATATGAGAAAAAATGGGAAAGTAAAATCTTTCATGATTTAATAACACTGAATTTATGTGAGAAGTAAAAAGACTCCCAAGGCTTTACGTCTGTATGACTGGAATATAAAAATATTTAAGAGTTGAGACTTTTGGGAGAAAGACAGTTTTAGCCTTGGACTATTTAGGCACGGGTGGGAAGCCAGCCCAGATGTCAGCAGTCGTTATTAATTGTTCCCCAAGCACCTCGTAGTGTCTGGACGCTGTCCAGGGTAATGGCAATACCGTGGTGAACAAGACAGGGCAGGTCCTCAAGAAATGTCCCTGAATTGGCTTTTCATATCAATTCCGGCTCCTTTGGAGAACTCAGACCTCAGGAGAGCAGGAGGAGACACACTGTAGCCTCTGGGTGGATGTGCACGGGAGACGGCGAGGCCGGACTAGACGAGGGACTTGGAGGTGGACCCGCGGGGGCTTTGCAGCTGGATTGGCTACGCGAAGTTGGAGAAAGGGTACCCCAGATTCAGGCTCTCGTGGGTACGTCGAGAGCTGTTTACTAATGAAGACTAAGAGAAAAGGTAATAAGGAAACTCAGTTCAGGAGGCAGTCCAGCTTGGGAGCACCTGGCTGCGCCTGCTTCCTATCAGGTGGCGAAGGCCGCAGGGCATGGAGAGAGCTGGGGGTGGGGGGGGACAAGTCCTTGGGAAAACAGGGCAGAGGGCAAGGGGTTTGTTAGAAACAGGAGTGTGGGTCAGGGCCGTGGAAGTTCTCGGGTTTGGAGGAGAAGGAGCCTGGCTGTGGAAGGGCTTCCTTCAGTCACAAACCCTGGAAGCTACAGCTGTGGAGGGCTTTGAAATTTTGGCAAGAGAATTAAAAGACGAAAGAAACCCTGAAAGAGAGGCCATGGCTCTCAAGCCAGCAGGGTCCAACCCCAAGGAAAGGAGATGCCTTGGGTTCCGTGGATACGGTTCAAAGCTCTAAAAATACAGAAAGGGGATGAGAACACATTGAAGATACCGTCAGGGCTCCTCTCCCTGAGCCCCCCATGTTCTGATCACCTCGGTCTCCCTGACAGAGGGCCTTTTCCTAAATGTCTGTTTTCATTCTACACCTGAAAGTTGCCCCGTCCCTGCTCGTGACAGCCAGTCCACTCTTCTGCCTCAAGAAGTTATCTGCCTTCTTTTTATGCTGCTGTTAACAGTGGACACAGCTTGATTGTCACAGAAGAAGAGAGCAGTAAAGGCCGTCGCTGCGCTTGGGTGAGGGGCAGCCACACCTCAGCTCCTGAGCTCAGGAGAGGGAGGAAGGAGGAGTGTGGTCGCCTACCGAGTCCCGGGAGGCAGGTGCTCTTGGTCCAGCACCTACCTCTCCATCTTTCTGTTCTGACTCTCAAACCCCCGAAGCTGAGACGGCTCAAGGGAAAATTCATAATAGGAGATACCAGCTCCTGTTGGTCCTTTTCTGGGCTCCTTCCCGTCCCTGACCACACATCTCCGTCTCTGTGGAACTGAGACTTTTTTATGAACTAGGCGAAGAATCCTGCCTGGTCCTACTGAAGTGTCCCATTCTTGGCCTCTACCACCCAAGAGTCGTTTTCCCCCTGAAACCACCTCCACAGAGCTGTCTCCTAGAACTTCCCCTTTTGCTTCTCTTTTTAAATAGTCTGGGGCCCTTGGAAGAGAAGGCAGAAGTGAGGTAGGGATGGGGATTTACTCCTGTCCAGGTAATGGCCAGATCAGAGCGGAAAGGTGAGCAGTTTATAAGAAAGCAAGTGACCCATGTGTCATGAAGTCAGAGGCCACACCTGTGGGCTCCTCCTGAGCCAGCCCTAAAGAGGGGCCCAGAAAAGGTCTAGGAATTGGAGGGACCTTAGCGCTCAGAGAGTCCACCCTCTACCTGCTGGAGCTCACTGCAGCCATCTGCTCCCTACTTGTTCGGACTCTGCCTCAGAGGACAGGTGAGAAGAGCATCGTGGGGCCTGGAGATGGCCCACAGCCTTCCCTTATTGGCCTTGTGACTCCTCAAAGCCTCCCTTTCCCTGTCTGCAAAGTTATGTCCCGCCTCGTGGGGTTGTTGGAGGTGGAATGAAGGAATGTCCACGAAGGGCCTAGAACAGGAGGACATACAGAACGTGGTCGACGAAATAGAGGTCCAGAATGGAACATGCCTGGGGACAGGGCTCCCGAGAGCCTGTGCCCAATTCTACAGAACATTCCGGAATTAAGCCCCAAAGAGGGGTGAAGAATAGAGTCATAGAGCTGCGAACAGGCGTGGACTCGCTGAAGGAGAGCTGAGCCGCCCGCCCAGCTGCTCCCCAGCTTCCTTCTCTTAACCTCCCTCCTCCCCTCTGGTCCCTGCCCTCAACTTTCCAAGACTCTCATTTGATGCTTTTAAACTTTTTTTCTTTATTTAGACAGAAAAGACCAACTCTTTAAAAGTAAAATGCAATAAATAAATAAGTTAAGCATAGAGAACTGTCTGAAACTGACTCCCCAGTCTCCCTTCCCACTCCCACCCCCACCCCATTTTCTTTTCCCTAAAACCTTTTCCTAGAGAAAATGATCAGGTAATAAACCCCTTTAGCCCTCCCCACTCCCTTCCTCCCAAATACCCAGTTACCCCCCAAAAGCAAAGGGAGAAATCAAGAGAGAAAAAAATCCAAGGGCAAAATTGTCTAAACTCCCAGAAAGAGAGATGGCAGCGACCGGCCGGGCCGGGCGGGCTGGGTGATGCACGGGTGGTGGTGGTATTTACACGGAGGGGGCCAGCAGAGACTGTAAACATTTTTAGGGGTTCAGGGGGAGGTCTTTTCCTCGAGAAAGGAGGAGGGTCTCTGTGGCTGACTGGCGGAGAGGCAGCCCTCAGGGCTCCCCCACACCCTCCTTGGAGGGGGCCCTTGGGGGAGGCAGTGAATTTTAGGGCTGGGAGCCCAGGATTCAGGGATATCCTACCTCTAGCTGGGTGGAGGGGAGTGTGAGGCCAGCTTCTGAGGAGCCCCTACTGCGGGGAAGAGGCTGGGGTGAGGGTGGGCTGGGGAGTGTGGGAGCCCCGCCGCCCACTCCGGGCTTCACGACTAGAGCAGGCCCACTGGTTGGGAGGCAGGTGTGAGCACTGGGCACAGAGGGCCCACCACAGGAGCCCGAGCAGAAGGCAGATACCCTGGAAACTTCCAGCCTATTCCTTGCTCCCTCGCAAAGGCCAAAAGGGCACCTGGGAGGAATAGGCCCGCGGAGCCAGGGAAGCCAAGCCACGGCCGTCAGAGAGGCAGGGTAGCAGGAGCAGGCCAGTGCCCTGTGCCCCCGGGGCCCGATGGAGGCCCAGGGCCGATGTGCAGAGAGGGCCGGAGCCAGTTGTGGGAGGAGGGTGTGAGGCACCCTTCCTCTGGCATCTCCAGACCTGAGAAGGAAGGAAACACGGGTGAAGCTTGCGGAAGATGGGGGCAGTGCTGGCCACAGGCTCTGGGCAGAGGGAGGGGCTGGGGTGGGTGGCGGCATCAAGATGGGGCTGCCCGAGAAGGCAGGTCATCAAAAAGGCCTCATTCCAAACAGAACCATCCGGCCCCCAGCCACGAGAGCAAAGGCCAGGAACGAGGGGATGGGGGGCGTTGGAGGAGCCAGAAGCCAAAGGCCATTAGGAAGGAAGCGGTCGGACAGCCCAAGGGAAGAGTGAGGGCTGCAGAGCCAGAGGGGAGGCAGAGATGAGGAGCAACAGGCAGGCAGAGGGACCAGGAGGAGGGAGGAGGGAGAGACAGACAGACACCTGGAGAGGAGCCTCCGCAAGGCCAGGGCCACCCGGACTGGGCTTAGGGACGAGTCTCGGGGTGAGACCGCCCCGCCTCTAAGCAGAGCTCTCATTCCTTTTTGGAAAGGAACAGAAAAAGCAAGAGAAATGCACAGAACACAGACCACAGTCACCAACCACTGTTGACCAAGCACATCCCGCGAGCTGCCCCCGGCCCTGTCCCTGGGCTGGGGGGAAGCTTCCCTCCACGGCCCCTCCCCAAATAACAAACAATTGGCTCCAAAGACAACACGCTCGTTCCATGCAACTTACAGGGGTCCGGGGATGGGGGCTTCAGCCGACAATGGACACGGGCCCTGGGCTGGGGGCCCCCGGGGTGGGGGGAGTTAAGCAGCCAGGATTGGGGGGAAAGGGGAGAAACAGAAAATGTGGGTATTGTTCTTGGGTTGGGTGCTTTTTTTTTTTTTTTCCAGGGGTTTAGTCCAAAGGAGATTAACACAAAAATAACCAAGGCGCACAGATCTGTGGCCCTGAGGTTGGGACGCTGGCCCACAGTGGGGTGAGGGGCTGCTAAGCGAAATTCACCAGGCAATGCAACACTCCAGCCTCCGCCACCTAAACCAAAGTGACTCCCACCAGGCTACAGCTGGGCTGCCCCAGTCGGCCCTGGGCCCTTTTCTGGCCCAGGGGCCCAGGTGCGCTGCTCTGAGTGGAAGTCACCTGGACATCAGGGCAAGGAGGACCTGGTGTTTCCACCACTGGGAGGACAGAGATTCCAGAAGCCAGGGACTAGGACCCTCAAGTACCCTAAACCAAACCTTGCTCCCCCAAACCTGCTCTCCTAATTTCATCAACCCAAAGGAAAACCAGAGAGTGAGAGAGACACAGACACGGACACACTGACCGGACAAACAGAACAGGTAGTGTGAAGCTCTGGGGCAGACACAGACAGACTCGGTTCCTCCTGGGCTCACATGGAGTGAGTGTGAGTGAGTGTGTGAGTGTGTGTGTGTGTGAGAGAGAGAGAGAGAGAGAGAGGTGGCTGAACAACAGCTGAGGCAGTTTCCCAGGTCCGTTTCCCATGCCCAGAGCCGGGTAGGGTGGGTGGCCCCTGAGGATGGTGGGAAGGGTGGGTGGCACACTCGAGGGCCCTGGCTGCAGTGTGGGGGTTGGAGAGGGGGGCACAACACCGGAGCAGCACCCACCTGGAGCCCTCAGTAGGGCCGGTTGGCATCCTTAGGCCGCTTTAGCTGGACTTTGAGGCGCTTCATGCCGATCTGGAAACCATTCATGGCCTGGATGGCCGCCTGGGCACTGGCCGGATTGTCGAAACTCACAAAGCCTGGGGTGAGAGGGGCATAAGGCCAGCCCGGCCCACCTCCCTCTCCTGCCGTGGGCCTAGGGCTGCCGCTCCAGCTCTCCAGACCTAGGCCCACCTCCCTCTCCTGCCGTGGGCCTAGGGCTGCCGCTCCAGCTCTCCAGACCTATTTCTTCTAGGTCTCACTAATGCCTAGAATACTGCCTGCACACCGTGGGCATCAGGAAGTGCGTGCTGATGGGTGGGCTGAACGCGCCATCCCAGCGCAGCCACTTACAGAACGAGGACACGCTTTCCAGCACTCTCTGCAGGGCGGCCTCTTCCTCCGCCTGGTTATGTCTGAATCGGCCTTTTGAAAACTGTCATCGCCAGACCTTACATGGCTTTGAAACAAAGTCCCTGGAGCAGCCTTTCAAAGATGTGAAGCGACTAAGACCTACCCCCTTTGGAAAACCAAACTCCCCAGAGGGAGCCTACTTGACTCCATCAAGCATGAATTTGGCAGGTGAACTTTTGTGGATGTACACGCCCAGAATCAAACCCAGGGCCTCAGGCGTGCCAAGCACCCGCTCTACCAGCCAGCCATGTTCTGGCCAACGTTGGTCCTAACAAGGACGAAGCTGTGGTTTTCTACAGGAAGAGAAGAGCTCAGGTGCAATAAGTATGGGATGCAGGGTGTGTCAGAGACGGTCCTGTCCTGCCCTCGGACACTCAGGATCTCAGGTACAGGGCCCATCGTGACCACAGCGCTTTCAGTGCTATCAGACCGTGTTCTAACGTGGAGTTTGGCAACAACAACAACATGTCTACACTTGGTCTTTTGGATCATCGTATTCTTACCAAAACATTTGCTCTGATTGGTGGCCCGGTCAACAAAGACTTTGGCTGAGATGACATGGCCAAAGGGGACAAACATCTGGAGGATCTCTGAGTCCGTGAACTCCTGGGGCAGGTGGTAGATGAAGATGTTACAGCCATCAGGGCCTGGGTGGCGGCAGAGACCGAGGACGTGAGCAACAGGGTGCCGGGAAGCAGACCCCGAAGGACCCTCCACTCCTCCGGCCACCTCGTCCCCATTTGTTTTCATCCCCACACACGGGCAGGAGCTAGGTTTGGCACAGGGCAATCGGAAGTCCCTGAGACCACAGGAGGACCTTCCTATCCCTGAAGGCTTGTGGCTATGAGGACCCTGCCCAGGCCTGGCACCTTCTCGCTGCTGCTGCTGCTGCTGCTGCTGCTGCTGTTGCTGCTGCTGCTGTTGAGGCGGAGGTGGAGGCTGCTGGGCCACTAGGGCAGGAGGCTGCGGGAACGCGGGCGCAACCAGGCTGTAGGCTGCCGGGTAGGCTGCTGGGGGGGACAGAGAGGGCTAAGGTTAGGCTGCTGGGGGGACAGAGAGGGCTAAGGTTAGGCTGCTAGGGGGACAGAGAGAGCCAAGGTTAGGCTGCTGGGGGGACAGAGAGAGCCAAGGTTAGGCTGCTGGGGGGGGGGAGAGAGAGAGCAGAGGGTAGGCTGCTGGGGGGACAGAGAG